TTATTTATATTTTGTGAATTGTAATTATACTATTATTTACTTTTTTTGTTTTGTTTCATTATTTATTTTCTGCAAGTATTTTAGCCTCGGATAAATTAAGCAAGAATGCTTCTTGGAACGAGAATATTTTATTAAACATAAAAAGATTGGATGCTGACAAAGATGCGAACCTGATTATTAAATGTTGGGACAATAGAATCAAAGGACCAGAAAGTATTTTAATTGAAGTGAAGATTTGTTTAAATGAAATTGAATTAACATTTAAAATTTACTTTATAGTAAATCGGCCACCCAAGAACATATCTTATAAAGAAAAAGAAAGGACTGTGATGATTTTAATAACCCGTTTAAAATATAAGGATTTGTGCGGGATGTCTGGTCCTTTAGAATTTAAGTTGGATCAAGACAAACATTCAACCAAGGATTACTGGAAAACCTCACAATCAGAATTCAAATGGCCAGTATCCCTATTTTTACTTGACAAGATCAGTGGACTGACTATTCATTGTGTGCTTTCAAGTAATCAGGGATGCCCAACAACTAAAATAAAAATTGGCCCATCTAATAATAAATCCGAGAACCGGATCTGGAAAAATTTAATAAAGTCTGGTTATTCTAATGGTAATTAATAATGATAATTAATTATATAATACATGTTTTATTTATTGATTTAATTATTTCTTTTATAGTTGGGCCGATTCCACTAATGGAAAGAGGAATGGATTATTCAAATCTAGAGTTTTTATTAACACTGCATACGATTACTCCAATAAGTGAATTATCATCATCGCCAATTCTTACTCGTAATATATTAGATTCATAAAAAAAAAAATTAAAGCAAGTGTGTGTTAGCAACCAACAGCTAGTGAAGTATTGTCCAAAGGTTAATTTGAAATGCTATCGTAATCGTAAACGTATAAGTTGCCTTTTAAATAAACCAAAGTTGAGTTTGCAAATTGGCCAATAAATATAAACGACTGAATAAATTGGTCACAAGTAACTTGTAGAGGTATTTGAGCTTCGTAAAAATTCCATCTTTATTTATTTACAGTTATCTGGCAACATTTAATTCGCCAAAGCTTTCTGATAAACAAATCATGATTAGTTAGCGTAAGAGAAATTAGTTGGAATCGGTATTATCCTTTATTGTTTAGGAAGCGAAATTTTTTTTTTGAATTCCTTTTTGGAAAATCTGAGCTTTACAAACTTCAACCTGTTGTAAATAATATTATCTTTTCTTTTCTTTGCAGAGCTCATAGGAGAAGAGCGGATATGTTAATTTTCTTCGGTGGGGCATAACTAGACCGAGTTTAAACATAATATTTTTAATGCCCACTCGAAACACGTTCCAAACATGCTTTAAATTATGCTTTAAAGATTACGTCTTAAGTAGTTTGATTTATTAGCAGAGTATGTTGAAACACATCTCAATAAAATTAACGGTAAATATATATAGTATATAACAATAAAAATAAAAATATGAATTGCCAAAATGCACAACGATAAAAACAATGAGTGACTTACATTGTTATGAAATCGATCCACATGATTTATACACGTAATTTTTTTAATTTGTTTAATATTCTTTTTTCTCATTATTTAAATTGTTATTCATCTTTAACTTTTTAAATAATTTTTCATACAATTTAAATTGTGAAATCAAATGAAAAGCGTAACAATCAAAATCCTTTATTTTGGGATCAGATTAGCTTATTGACTCGAGTAATTAAATGTTTGTTGTTGTTGTTGTTGTTGTGAAGAAACGAAATTCTATGAATTGTTTCCATCAATTTAGAAATAAAATAAATACAAAATCAAAATTTTCTAATATATCAATTCAATTAATCAAAATAAGAATCTTTTATTAACCGCCCTGTACCCACCACCACTACCATCATAGTTATTACTGTTATTGTTATTATTGGAATCCATCTTGACATTTTATAGAAACTTTTTCAAAAGAATATTATTATTATGATATTTAAAAGGAAAGAGAATATCTATACATGGATTAAATATGTTGATATTTTTCTCATTCTTACTCCAACGAATTACAAACTGTACAAACCATCGAATATTCGAATCAGGCGCATGTGATAAAAATAGGCTGATCACTTGACTCGAGATATAATAAATTAGATAGCTACTAGGAGGCGGCATGTCTAAAAAATGAAATGCGCAACTTCGAGCGTGGCCTAAATCAATTTTGCCTGGACCCCCATTTTTTACTCTACTTACTGAATGGATCAATTCAGCAAGCTGAACCATTGTCAGCAGAATCAGATCAACAGGATAGCAATATTCATAAACATTAATTGTGATTTGGTAAATATTCCAACACATTTAATAGGTAGTGGTGGAAAGATGATTTTAATTTTTAAAAATGTAATGAAAAGTATGGAATTAACACGGAATTTGTAAGATACTGAAAAGGTACACTTTTGTTCTGTATTTAAAAATAAGAAATTTTTTTATCAACTTATTATTACAAACAAGTTTGGAAATTATTAATCTTAAAGATACGAATAACGCAGCCGAATTTAGCATTAATTTATAATATTGTTAATTGGTGGTCCGCCGATCAACGATAGAAATTTGTTATGCAGATCCGGGATATCAACTTGTTTGACTGATAATAATAATAAATTATTCCAATTGTTTAATTTTTGAGGAATATATACTTGGAACAAATTTAAAAATTATTACTTTTTATTATGTAAAATAAAAAAAAATACGTCAAAATCCAAAAAAACATTTTTTCAATTGTTTACATAGCTGCGCAACCAAAATCATTACTTATTATTATTATTGGGTAAAATAAATATGTCAAAAAGGTCTTTAAATTGTTATGTAATGTCCTGCAGCTGTACAACTAAAGTTATTTGAATATTATTATTATTATTTTATTTATAATTATCAAACAGAATCTATTTTTTTAAACAATAAACAATATCTTTTAAATTATGGCTAAAATTTACAATCAATAATTTTTTTTTGATACAGATAACATTATATGATAACAAGAAGTTACTATTAAAGTATTAAAGTGTGAATTTGTTGGTAAGCTGTTTTGAAAAGGGCATCTGCAATGGAATGATAGGTGTGATCACCAAAGTTATAGATGATGATGTAGAAATTACTTTTCCAACTAATGGTAACATTATTAAAATGAATGTACTATAAATTTTGAAATAAATGGTACACATGCCTCAAAGTGCCAATTCCCATTGCAGAATGCATTTGCCAAGACCCAAGGCATGAATAAGGTTTCTAGCCGAATCTGCTTCTATTAGTAGCCGAAATTGCCCAAATACTTGCGGCAAAATTTATTTTTTTATAAGCCTAAACTACTTTTTGTTATTAGCTGAAATTGGGCAAAATTATTTTAAAGTTGTTTAAATTAAAACAAGTTGATTCATATAGTTTTTTAATGTTCATGCTTATAAAAAATGTTGAGAAGCCCAAATTGCCCAAACTAGTTTGGGCTTTGAGAAAACAGTTTGGACCTAGTGTTCCATGTCGCAATCCAAAAAAGGAAACCAAAGTGGTCACAAAGGTGGTTGCAACCAGGTGTCGCAAACCATTTTTATATGTCGCAAATATGGTTGCAACCATCACCAAGAATTGCGACCAGCATCTATATTTGGACCAGAAACCTTAGCCCTATAAAAAATTGGCACAGAAATGTACAGAAAACTGTACGGAAAAATGCACAGAATTTTACTTGAAATTTGCATTTTTCCATACTAATACAAATTCCATGCGTTTTCCCATACATTTCCGTGCCAAATTTTTATAGGGTAGGCATGACATTGCCACATGTGACTAATTATTGATGAAAATATGTGGTGATGAGCAGGGCTCCTTCTTGGGACCAGTTGGATATCCTTTCATTTGATTTTGATTGCCTGAAGGTGAATAAAGATGTTGTGACTGAATACAGAAGATTAAATCTTTTACTAAAACAGTCTAAAAAAAATATTATTAATTAATATTAACAAATGAATTAATTTATGACAAAAACATTTCATCAGGTATCATTTAATCATGACATCATCAATGACACATTTTTGACATTTAACTTTAGTAATTGTCAATTAGTCATCATTTATCATTCTATTTTATTTATTTTATTTTATTGGACAAAATCATGTAAAAAGTCATGTTATTTGTAATACTTCAAGAAGTATAAATATGCATGAAATCTCCTTCAGTGAAAAAAAATTGATTTTTCAATAATGACACTTTCATCAATTGATTCATAACCCTTTCTGATGATTAATGGTTTGGTCAACATTTAATTATGAGTTAGGAACCCCTTTTATTGGTTTTACTATATTGCTTGTAGGGACGCCTCAAGTATCGTAGTTGTGCTAGATTTGATGACTTTGCAATAGAGCAGAGTTTCTATTCGTAATACCAATTTTTGTTTGAATTATTCAAATCATTTAGTTATTTGAATTGTATCATTCGTTTGTTTGAATTGTAACATTCGTTTATTATTCGAATTGTTATCATTCTTTTATTATTTGAATTGTTATCATTATTTATTATTTGAATTGTGTATCATTCGTTTATTATTTGAATAGTTATCATTCGTTTATTATTTGAATAGTTATCATTCATTTATTATCCGAATTGTTATCTATCATTCATTTATTATTCGAATTGTTATCTATCGTTCGTTTATTATTTGAATTGTCATCATTCGTTTATTGCTATTATTCGAATTGTTATCTATCATTCGTTTATTATTCGAATTGACACCATTCGTTTTATTATTATTATTATTCGAATTGACATCATTCATTTATTATCATTATTATCATTCGAATTGACATCATTCATTTATTATCATTATTATCATTCGAATTGACATCATTCGTTTATCATTCGAATTGACATCATTCGTTTATCATTCGAATTGATATCATTCGTTTATTATTATTATTCGAATTGACATCATTTGTTTATCATTATTATTCGAATTGACATCATTCGTTTATCATTATTATTCGAATTGACATCATTCGTTTATTATTATCATTCGAACTGACATCATTTGTTTATCATTCGAATTGTATCATTCGTTTTGCTGTAAAAAGTCATGTTATTTGTAATACTTCAAGAAGTATAAATATGCTTGAAATCTCCTTCAGTGAAAAAAAAATTGATTTTTCAATAATGACACTTTCATTAATTGATTCATAACCCTTTCTGATGATTAATGGTTTGGCCAACATTTAATTATTAGTTAGGAACCCCTTTTATTGGTTTTACTATATTGCTTGTAGGGATGCCTCAAGTATTGTAGTTGTGTTAGATTTGATGACTCTGCAATAGAGCAGAGTTTCTATTCGTAATACAAATTTTTGTTTGAATTATTCAAATCATTCATTTGTTTGAATTGTAACATTCGTTTATTATCCGAATTGTTATCATTCTTTTATTATTTGAATTGTTATCATTCTTTATTATTTGAATTGTTATCATTTGTTTATTATTTGAATTGTGTATTCGTTTTGTGTATCATTCGTTTATTATTTGAATAGTTATCATTCATTTATTATTTGAATAGTTATCATTCATTTATTATTTGAATTGTTATCTATCATTCATTTATTATTTGAATTGTTATCATTTGTTTATTATTTGAATTGTTATCATTCTTTATCATTCGAATTGTACTATTCATTTATTGTTATCATTCGAATTGACATCATTTGTTTATTATTATTATTCGAATTGTTATCATCATTCATTTATCATTCAAATTGTTATCATCATTCGTTTATCATTCGAATTGTTATCATCATTCGTTTA